CTCAGGGCAAGTACAAAGCCTTCTCCACCTGTGCATCTCACCTGTCTGTGGTCTCCTTATTCTATTGTACAAGCCTAGGTGTGTACCTCAGTTCTGCTGTGACCCAAAACTCACACTCCACTGCAACAGCCTCAGTGATGTACACTGTGGTCACCCCCATGCTGAACCCCTTCATCTACAGTCTGAGGAACAAGGACATCAAGCTGGCTCTGAGAAGACTCTGTGAGAAAGAATAAAGTGTCAATTTTTGGAGACTGAATAAGTGCTCCTGATGCATGGCTCAGAGCCTCCGAGTCAGAATCTGAGATTCTTTATCAGATTCTGGAAGCAGAACTTTCTTCTTCTCCTTTATTCCTGCATTTCCATTTCTTTGATTTTCACTTCTGCATACAATTCCACTGAATCATGAATTTTTTTGCACATTCTGATCTCTATAAAATTCATTCCTTTTCATTTGTCATTTCTGAACTTTCTCAAAGTATTACCATCTATGGATGAGAAATTCTTGAAAATTCTCATTTGTTCCATGAGATATAATTTTAGAAATAAGTTAACCTCAAATGACATATGTCCTGATATTTAATTATTTAATTTGCTAAAAATAGTCATAATTTATATTCAAATGTGAAAATATTTGTCAATTAACACTGTTTTTATAATTTTATTGTGAAGGCAAATCAGAGAAAAAATATTTTTAGTACTATGGATTGAACCCAAGGGTGCTTAACCACTGAGAAATATCCAATGACATTTCTGTTTTCTGTTTGAGATAGTGACTTGCTAAGTTATTTTAGGCCTCACTAAATTTTTGAGGCTGATTTTCATCTTTGATCCTCATGATTCAGCCTCCTGAGTATCTTGAATTAGAAGCATCCACCACCATGCTTGACAGAGAATAGATCTTCAATTGTGTGTTCATGATTTATTGCCTGTATGACTTCCGGAATTTCCAATCTTCATAAGGTAGCCTTTAACATACCATGGTGTTAGCTGGCCATTAGGTCTTATTCTCTACTTTTTGGATCCTGTTTCTTTTTCAGCATGGTGTCCACAGTGCCTAACAGTCATGGACAAAACATGTCCCCAGTGGTACCTACTTCACTGTTTCCCAGGTACATATTTCTATGTGATAGACAACATTTTTGAAATGCCAGCAATATATTAATGGTTAATAGATTAATGGTTCAAAGATCCAGGCTCTAGATGAATGGTTCAAAGGTCCAGGCTCTGGGCACAGAGGGGAGTAGAGGAGGTTGTAACAGGGCAAAACTTGGGACATGTGACTGATGGGAGCTATTCTGTATTTTATTTTGAATATCATAAATAATTGTAAATGTGAGGTTCAGCATGGCATTTCCACACCTGCCCACAATGTGCACTGATCAAATCCAGCCTCCCTTATCCACCCTCTCCAACCCCTCCCCAATATCTAGTAATCTCCATCCTATGTTCAGGGTGACATTTTACTTTATTTTTTTTCTAACCTCCTCTTGAGACACCATGAAGTACTTGTCTTTCAGTATCTGCCTTCTTCACTGAGCACAGTACCCTCCAGGTCCATCCCACATTGCCCCAAGTAACAGGACTTCATCCTTACATATGGCTGAGTATGTTCAAGTTGTGTATATGCCACGTTTCTTTCCTCCTCTCATCAGGTGATGGGCATGTAGGTGACTTCATAGTGTAGCTAATGTGGATGATGCTAAAATAAACATGGCCATGAACGATTCTCTTTGCTGTGACTTCATATCCTTGTTATCAGTGTAAACACCTGGCTGTGATATTTTGCTCAGTGTCACCATGGTGGAAGCTCACGAAAGGGACCTTGGATCTCTCTCTGTCGAGTTTTACTACTACCCTTTAATCTACAATTTTCTCCAATTAAATGTTCAATTAAAATTATAAATAAAAAATGATGGACATCTGAGGAAGCTGTTGAATTCAGACTGTGGACAAAGTGGCTTGGCATGTGAGTGACTTTCTCAAGCCTTCCAGCAATGTGAATAGACTTGGAGGATATTGTTCTAAGAGAAGAAGGTAGATACTGAAGACAAGTACTTCATGGTGTCTCCAGAGGAGGTTTAAAAAAAAAAAAGTAAAATGTCACCCTGAACATAGAATAGACAATAGTAGATGTTGGGGAGGGGTTGGAGAGGGTGGATAAGGGAGGCTGGATTTGAAGAGTGCACACTGTGGACAGGTGTGGAAATATCATGCTGAACCTAACATTTTTTTTTTGTTCAGCATACCTTGTGTGGAGGTGCTAAATATATCACTATAATTTATGCTCATCAAAATAAACTGTTCACATTTTGATGTGTTTCCCTTTCCTCTTGAACCTGTGATTGCTGTTCACTTTCTCCCATGTGACTGTCAGCTGTCATTGCTGTCATGGTGCATCCTGTGCTTAAAATTACCCTGTGTACTTTCTTCAATCAAGAGCAGGAAAATGAAGAGAACACCAACTGGTTGATAATGGGCTGTGGCTTTCTGTCAATCCTGACACAAGATGTACAGAAGATGGTGTTGACGTTTGCTTTCTGATTGGGGTAAAAATGTTGGATATTGAAATAAACAGATTTGGTAAAACAAGAAATGCTGGCATCTGAGGTTTCATTGTTCTCACTCTCGGCTATGTAGATACTAGGGAGACGGTACAGATGGACGTGTGATTTAAACTGTGGTTTTTACTACTTAAGAACCTCTCCTACTGCCTCCTTTCTGCACACACATGGGAAGCACACAAAATCTTCTGAGATCTTGGCAGACTCCTGAGTTCCTCTGTTCAGGCAACCTCATCAATAACAGAGCAGGGTACTTAGCTTCTATCATTCTAGGATTTTGACAGTCAGGAACCAGTTCAAAGTCTTTTCTGCATGTGGGTCTAAACCATTGGTAATATCCTTGCATGATGCACTGGCTACACAAGTCAGCATTCTGTTACTATAAGACAACAGCTGAGATCATTGATTTATATGGAGAAAACATTTATATTAAATCACAGTTTTCAAGATTCCAATCTGTTTTGGATTGGCCCCATAGCTTGGCCCTATTGCAATGAGCACATGATGGGGGGGGGCAGGCATGTGACAGAGGAAAGGGGCTGACCTCATGGCCTGGAAGTGGAAGAGATAGAGGAACAGATGAGGTCCTACAATCCCTTTCAATGGTAATTCCCAAATGAACTAAGATTTCCCACTAGACATTCCTCTTAGCATTTCCTCCACTTCCCAACAGCACCAAGCTGGGGACCAAGCTTTAACACAGGGCCTTTGGGTGACACTTAAGATTGAGACTGTAGCACTGGCCTTGAGGTCCTCCTCAGTTCTGCAGGCACTTTGTTGTCTAGATGACCTTGATGTGGCCTTGGTGTC